CACATGCATGTAAGTTCTGTGGTTTATCTCTTTCTCCTCAACTCCCCCCTCCTCTGAGGCTTGTCAGTCTATACCCCACCTCTATGTCTCTGGGTTAGTTCTGTTCAGCAGTTTGTTTAGTTCACTATATTCCCCAAATAAGTGAGATCATGTGGTATTTGTCTTTCTCTGCTTGGCTTGTTTCACTTTGCACTGGTGCAGTCACTGTGGAAAACACTATAGTGTTGTCTCAAAAAGTTAATGCCATTTGACCCAGTGATCCCACTTCTGGGAATATACCCTAAGAAGCTTGAAACACCAATCAGAAAGAATATATGTACCCCCATGTTCATAGCAGCAGTATTTACAATAGCTAAGATCCGGAAACAGCCCAAGTGTCCATCAGTAGACGAATGGATAAAAAAGCTGTGGTACATGTACACAATGGAGTACTATGCAGCTGTAAGAAAGAAAGATCTGTTATCCTTTGAGAGACATGGAGGGACCTGGAGAGTATTATGCTAAGCGAAACATGCTCATTTGATTTTGATGATGGTACAGTTTGACTTGAAATTGCTATAAGATTTTGCTTTTGCTTTAAAGATGCATGAAAACTATAAGGTTAAGAACTTCAACCAATTGCTTTATTTTTACGTATTCCCTAGCATCAGCATACAAATAGGGTAGATCACCACCCAGAGGCCCACAAACCTTTTTTCTTTTCTTTTCTTTTCTTTTCTTTTCTTTTCTTTTCTTTTCTTTTCTTTTCCTTTCTTTTCTTTTCTTTTCTTTTCTTTTCTTTTCCTTTTTTGCTTTGAGAGAGAGAGGCAGGGAGAGGGAGAGAGAGAAACACCAATGACATTGGGTCACCTGGATCTAGCCCTTCCTGAAAGCCCTTATTTCTGGTTGCATATGAACGAACAGCGTATTTTCCTCTCTCTCTTCCTCTCCCTTTCTAGCCCTCTTTCTTCCTCTCTCTCTCTAAACATCATTAAAGAAAAAAAATTTAAAAAAAGAAAAGAGCGGAGAGTGTGAAGGAAACCCTGAGACGGCACCTGGAAGGCAAAGGGATCGAGTCCTGCCTCTCCGGTGTCTCCAGTCCAGGTATCTGACCGGTAGAAAGCGCGGCCTTCCAATCGGGAAACGAGAAGAGACGGAGAGCCCCTCAGGACCGAAGTCAGACGAGGGGTCAGCCGTCCCGCTCACCCCGCCCGCGTACAGCTCTCACGGATGGAGACATCCCCACTGTTGTCCACGTGGCGACACCGTGACAAGTCGTTCCCCTCTGTGGACTTGTTTAGTTCCCAAGGACACCCTAACGTTGTCAGGTGTCGCTCCCGGTGCAAGTCAGGACAGCGGGGACCCATCCGCCCGCCACAGCGCTGGCCACACCAGCCACGAGCCCGCTCGAAACTCCCCACAGAGTTCCCTGTTCTAAGTGTGATTGTAGAAATCTCAATTAAGAGTCTTCAATTAAATAACTGATCCAGGTAATTTAATTTCCTGGCTTAATTGAGCACTAACCAAAAAAACTTTTCCATTAAAGCATGTTTTCCCGAAGTATGTAAGACACTTTCCTGACTAGTGAACCCATTTAAATGGTCTGATGATTAACTCGCTGATGTGCCCCGGCTGACGGCTCTGGAAATCACTTCTCAGCATTTAATAGCACACCCACCACGGAAGTTTCGTTTTTTTCCAATCTTCTACTAATTAAGACTGAAAAGAACATCTCTAGGCATACGTTTTTGTTTCTTCTTCTTTTATAGTTCAAATTAGTTTCAGATATGCCTAAAGTGAAATGTTTGGTCAACTGGGTTATAATGTGTTTTATAGTTCTTTTTTTTTTAATGTTTTTTTTTTCTTTATTGATTTTAGAGAGAGAGGAAGAAAGAAGGAGAGAGAGATAAAAACATTCATGAGAGAACATACATTGGCTGATTGGCTGCTTCCTGCATGCCCCCCACTGGGGATGGGCCCACAACCTGGGCGTGTGCCCTGACCGGGAATCAAACCGGCGACCTCTTGGTGCAGGGGCGATGCTCAGCCATGGAGCCACACCGGCCGGGCATTTTATTGCTCTTTTAATGCCTCCCAAACTGTCTCCTAGATGCCATGCCAGCTCTCACCACATCACGGGCAGCACTCGGCATCACTACATTTTAGAATAGTTTGCCGAGTGTAATTGCTCACGATGAATTTTACCATAAACTGGGAACCGATGAGCTGGGAGCCCCATGAGGACGGTGGCAGTAGCTGGGTGACAGTGAACCAGAGAGGAAGGGAGCACCGGGGACGAGTGTCCGGGGAGGAGAGGATGAGCGGCCTCGTCCGTGGGAAGTGAGGGGTACTGGCGAGTGCTGAGCAGCCGCTCTCCAGAGGAGGAAGCAAGCCCGATGGGCAGTGTGTCCAGGGGTACCTGCCACTTCCACAGCCAGCTTCAACCCGCTTCCCCAGGCTCGGGAGAACGGGCCCCCATGGCCCTGTGACCCAGCAGGGCTGGCCCAGCACACCGCTGCCAACGAGGGGCCAGGGGACACCGGAAGGGTGGTGAGGAGAGGTCCCTTGGCATAGGTGTGCCACCACCATCCCCCACGCCGCTGCATAAGACTTGCTGCCAGAGGATCTGGACACTTACAGGGACCACAAACACAGCATGGGGTGCTTGAATGCCCTGTGTGGTCAAGAGATACACATGCCCTTGACCACGGGACCAATCACAGACCCCCCAGGGAAATTTTCTACCCATTTAGGGGAGCCGTGTCCCCAGGAGCCCCCACCTCCCCTCGTCTCTCCACAAGGTCTGAACAGACAACAGATGCCTTGAACTGTCCTATTTCATTGCATAGTCAGTATCTCTTATTAGTCATCTCTTTCTGCCAAATCGGAAAACCCTACCTCAACATAACAGTAACTTGTGAGGGGCAGGAAGTAGTTCATTACTCTGGAAGACGGTTCTGAGGTTGAAAACGGACCGAGAAATGAGCAGCTACTTCGCAGTGGAAGCTGTTCCAGCGCCTCGTCTGATTGGCTAACTCCGAGGCCAAAGGTTAGTTTCCACGGACAGCTCGCAGCGAATGGAATCTCGGTCTCGTCGCTGATTTCCCTTGCCTTTAGAGAGTGGTTTTTCATGTTCTTTCTTGGTACTTGGATATACTTTTAAATTATTGATACGATGACCTTTGTTTTTCTAACAAATTTAGAAAAACATGAACTATCTGGAATGTGTTGATAATTGAGTCAATAAATGATGATCCCTAGTATCCTGAGGACCGAAGATGTCATATTAAAACACGTGAGGCAGATGTCTGCCTCTCCGGGTCACCAATGACATGTGATACACGGGGTGGGCAAAGGGCTGTTTTCGTTAAGAAAAGGCAGTGGACTGGGAAGGTGACGAAGCCCAGTTCAGAGCTGGGGAAACAGGAAGGAGGGAGGTCCTGCCGTCTGGAGCGGGCAGAGCTGCTGCCTCGGGTCACGGCCGCTGCGAGTGAACAGCTGGGACCCCTGGCCCTCACTCACGGCGTCCAGGGCGACAGCAAGTCCGCAGAGCCGGGGACGGCTCATGTGCTCTGCCGCAGTTGGGCCGGGTGAGGATGGCCGATCCAGACAGTGTGGGGCTCAGACCCATGCCCAGTGAGGCCGCCCCCCACTTAGAGCTGGTGAACCCCTGTTGGTGGCACGGTGGTGGCAGCTCTATTACATTTCCTCTGCATGCCAGTACTGGGGGGTGCTGGGCATAGAGGGGCCCGGGACCCTCGACACCAATTCCACCCCCTGGCTGCCTGGGAAACATTCCTTAAAGGGGAACTCCACTTAATAAGCCAGCTCCAGGGGACTGGGCAGCTGGCAGGCATTCCCAACTAAGCCTGGCGAACAGCAACTGTTCTCAAAGTTGATTCCACATTTCAGTGACCTGGGAACTTTTAAACAGCCTGAAGCCAAAGCCATATTCTAGACCCACGAAGTCACGACTTCCACGCTGGGACCTGGTATGGGTGGGTTCCAAGACTGCACTGAGTGTTTCCAGTGGGCAGAGTGGGAGCACTAGTGGGTTTCGGCCTTCCTGCTCAAGGCACGGTCGACGGCCCACGGTGTGGCAGCGCCGGGGAGCCCACCAGCAATGCAGACTTCCAGGCACCACTGGCCCTCGACTCGGGCTCTGCTGACGCACAAGGCCCTCGAGAGCTCTATTTGCACGTTGAGCCGAATACGTAGCAAACAGGATGCCCCTAATGGTACCTAATGGGGCCTGGTGACTGACATCATCTCCCTGAGTGGAGAATGGCGTGGCCATCATGACCCGGGGGAGGACGCACGCGAAGACCAAGGCCGGGAACGCTGTTCAAGGGGCGTCGCGAGCCTGAGAGTGTCTGGCCGACCCCCGCATCTGCACAGATCACCACGCACTCCGCCTGACTTCCCACACACCACCCACGCGCCCGAGGTTTTCTGTTTCATGAGCGACCAGACAGCAGGGAGCGCTGTGTGCTGGTCATCACCGCGGTCCCCAGGGCTGAGCACACTGCGATGTTAACAGTCTCACCGGCAGCACAGAGGGCTCAGGAGCTGCCCGTCAAGGGCCCCGGAACAAGGTTGCTTTGCTTACCGTCGATTTGTTTCTCCTGTATTACCAGATGTCAGCTTAATGTTAGTCAGCGTAGAGAAGGGGTGAGGGCCAAGGGCATGAAGCAGAAACGATACCAGGAACAGTGCCGGGGCTTCTGCACCCCCCTCCCTACGGGTCTGGCCCTTGTGGGGAGCTGGCGCTCCTATTTTGGCCCAGCCTGGAGCACCTGTCAGACCAGTGGCAGGAACCAGCTGGGAACGAACACACCCAGTCTCACCAGCTGCTGTGGCCAATCCCAGACTCTCACGGAGCCGGGTCGTCCCCTCTGGGGTCCATAATCACAGAGCAGCAGCTGCGGGGAACTAGGTCACGACCACCAGAGACATCACCACCTTCCAGCCAGGGAGTCAGAACTAAAGCTTTATTTCAATGTGTCATTATTTTCAGAACATCACGGGCAACTAGAAACTTGGATGCAAGGAGGATTGTTATAACTGCAGAGTAAGTAAAATGTGATAAATAATGGAATTATAACAAATACACTTTAATGTAAATCTACACAGACGTCCCACACATCCAAAAGTCATGCTCTATCAGTGCTGTGCCCACAGCTGTCCCGTGGGGTACTGAGTTCCCGGACGGCGCTCCAGGGGTGTCCACGGGTCCCACGAGCCACGGAGACTTCCCGATAGCTGATGTAAAAGCAACACATTACGTATCTTGAAAAAAAGGATCACAGAGCAACTTTTAAAAGGTTTAATATATTTTTTGGTCGTACAAAGAATGAGCAGTCCTGAACTATTTCAGACAGGGAAACCAGCATACCAGCCACGGCTACGTACAAATTGCGTCAAGCTTCAGAAGTGCAGCAAGACACACTACAGATGTGATTGGAAATAGCAGTTTTGGTCTGAGGAACAATCCGATGTTGCCCTTGTATCGGTCTTACTGTACTGGACATGCCCATGGCTTGTCACTGGATGGAGGACAGGCAGGGACAGAAGGGAACTCATGGAGTCCCAGGCTTATTTCCAGAGTGCCATCTTTAAATCAATATTTTGAGTCTTTTAACTAGTGGTGCTGGGTCAGAAATGACTGTCCCTATGCAACGTGGGGTGCATCCCAGGAATCGCAGCTACACATTTGGGATGGGGCCACCTACATGCTAACACATCGGATTCAGTGGCACCGACTCCTCAGCCCCAATCAACAGGGAGACTGCTCCCTTCATGGAAGATGATCTCCGAACAAAGACCCATGACGGAAGCACCCCCAGCCTTCCTGGAGACACACAGGCAAACACAGAGGGAGGAAATGGGGCCTGATGAGATCAGATGTCCAGTAATTACATGTTTCTCATACTGATGATGCGCTAAACATGTGAAAACATAGCCACTGGCCAGAGAGGGCAAAGCGATTCTGATGTGAATCAGCTGAAATGGGAGAGCTCACCCCAGAAGCCCTGTGACATCACAGCCTGTGGGAAATACCCTCTGTGCTGCTAGCAAAGTACCCCCTGAGACCTCCAAACCCCACATTGGCCACGAGGTCCTGCTTCCTTTTCCACTGAACCCATAGCCAAATTAAAAATGGATAACATTTCTCTGAGAACAGAAACAGAAAAAGGTTGAGACAAGTTGAAAGACAGATATCCTAGAACATCCACCAACGAGATGCCACTCGAAGGCCGTGGGACAGCCACCCGGACAGAACCAGCTGGCAGGAGGGCGCATCCCCGAGGGCTGGCAGGGGCCTGGCCAGGGCTCTGGGCTCCCGGTGGACACCCAGGCAGCTCCACACCCTCCCTTCTCGGGTTTTGTTCTAGGAGGCCATGGGTGGGAGACCACAGAGCCCACGGTTCTCAGGCCCCTTACACGCACTGAACACGTCCCAAGGGTGCAATCTTAGAAGGGTGAGGGCACGAGCCATTGGCAAGGAGCAGTCACCAGAAAGGGGTGGCTGAGGGTTTATCTCCTGGGAGCAGGGGCTGCCCAGGCGCTGCTGCCTCAGCCCTGCTCAGGAGGGGCAGGTGCAGAGAGAGCGCCCCCAAAGGGGAGTGTGCCATCCTCCCCCACTTGGCACCTCTGCCCGGGCTGCTGCTGCTGCCCCACATCCAGGACGCTCCCTGCGCCCACCTGGCAGCAGCCCTGAACCTCCTCATCTGTCTGCCAGGCCGGCCACAGACACTGCTGCAAGGAAGGTTCTGGACTGGGCCGGCCTGGGCTGTGCTTACTGCAACCAACAGGAGAACACACGGGATGTCAGTGGGAATTCCCAGGACGCAGAGCCCAGCCGGACTCCAGGACGCAGAGCGGTGAAGACCGGGCGGCTCTGCCCGGCCTGCCATCTCCAGCAACCGCCCGTCTCCACGCCGGCAGGCAGGGCCCGGCGGCGGCTGTAATTCGGTTTGCAGGAGTCAGGCCCACAGATCATTAGGAGGGAAGGATCAGCTTCCAGAGACAACACGGCATCGAACAGCTCTTAGGAGACGTGTAAGATAATCTACTGTTACTTGAAGACCATTTGCAGGAACAGAGTGTTACAGATCGGTGGTGGAAAAGACAGTGAAAACTTCTGTTTCAAAATATTAAGGTGCAAAGTGTGTCCGGGTCTGTGTCACTTACAGTGACTGTGCTTTGGCCTTCACTCGGCCTTGGTCGCTGTTACCCAGCTGGATGGAGATCCAGTTGTTTACAGGAAGAAAACCACCTTGGAAGAGAACAGATGTCTAAACACAGCTACTTTGTTACTTGTTTTTAAAATCGGAAGCCAGGAGGAAGTTGCACCCTCTGTGGGGTCAAGGAAGGCAACGTCACGGGTAAAACCTCTAAGTGCCGCGGGTGTCCCTAAGGTCACAATATCCTCAGTCACTGCAGGTTCCCAGCGCACACGCTCCAGGCGATCTCGTCCATCCTGGGCGTGAGCAGAAACACTCTAATCGATGACTGGCACCAGCCTGCTAGGCCTCGGGCGGTGAGGACACACCCCAGGGAGCCAAGGCCCACAGGCCAGCTGGGTTTGGGGAGTGAACATCCTCCCCGGGAGGAGGCGGTGGCGTTCCGTTTTAATCCAGCTAAAGAACAACGAAATGAAGCGACTTCGGCCTGGTCTTCTCCCCTCCCCCAAGGAGGGCACAGGCTTGTGAGCAGAGGGAAAAGCCTGGTCAGTGTTGGCACCTGCGGCTCCAGGGAACCTGCAGGGGACAGGGCCTCCGTGGGCGCACACCCCCGAGTGGCACGGCGTGCCCTCGCTCCCTGCCAGGCCCCGCTGTCAGTTCTCATTCTAACTGGCGGAAGGATTCCCTGATTCTGGAGAGGGGCTGAAGGTTGGTGGCTGAAATGCCTTCTTAAGGACAACAGGGCACGTCTCAGTCAAAATGCAGTAGGTTAGAGGGCATCGTACATGCTACCCTGACGACAGCGGGTTCCACGCGGAGGGGGAGGGGCAGGGGACGGACGGGACGAGGAGGGCGGTCACATGACCACGCACTTGCCCTTGAGCTTCTCCTTCCGCTTCTGCTGCTTGCTCTTCTTGCCGTCGATCTGCAGGCTGACGGTCCTGCGCTTCTCCAGGTTGAGCAGCTCCTGGAAGAGCTCCTTCACGTTGTGGTTGAGCTTGGCCGAGGTCTCCATGAAGGCGCACTTCCACTTGCGGGCCAGCGCCTCCGCCTCGCTGCTCTCCACCTCCCGGTTCGGGCTCTCGTCGCACTTGTTCCCCACCAGCATGATGGGGATGCTCTCCACGTCCCCCTTGATCTCGCAGATCTGCTCGTAGATGGGCTTGAGCTCTTCCAAGGACTGCCGGCTGGTGATGGAGTACACCAGGATGAAGGCATGGCCTTTGGAGATGGACAGCCTCTGCATGGCGGGGAACTGGTGGCTGCCCGTGGTGTCCGTGATCTGCAGGGTGCAGATGCTCTTGTCACAGCTGATGACCTGCCGGTAGGTGTCCTCCACCGTGGGGATGTAGCTCTCCCGGAAGGTGCCCTTCACGAACCTCAGGACGAGGGAGCTCTTGCCAACGCCACCCGCCCCGAACACGGCCACCCGGTAATCATTGCTCTGTTCCGGCATGGTGCTCGGGGCTCCAGCGACCAACCAGGGGGCACCTAGAAAGGAACCGGATGTTTGAGAGAATTACTAGCAAGCATCTCTTGGATCGCTTTACCCTCTTTAGATGGACCCTCTTTAGATGGACCCTCTTTAGATGGACCCTCTTTAGATGGACCCTCTTTAGATGGCTAAAACATGGAAGTGATACAGTCTGCTGCCACCCTCCCAACATTCACATTCAATTTCAAAGATTCTTCTGTTCTAAATCCAGTATGTATAGTGAATCCTCAGTTTCCAATGCAGCAGGCTATCTCCTCGGGGGCCAGCTGGGCCAGTCCGTCCCTCCTTGTGGGACCATGACCCTGAGCCTCTTCACTCACACATGTACCATCTACTGGAGGAAAGATGCCTACTCAGCCCAAGGGGGCAACATGAAGGGAAGCTGAGGGAGAGACAGCATTAACCGCAGGGAACGTGCACACACCCACGATCAGCTCATTGGCCGTTTCACCTGGAGTTCTGCAACACCCAACACTTTACCCAGAATATGTGGTTTGTTTTTTATGAGTGGTGGGACGGGGAACAATGAGGAGAAGGCTGTTGATATTTAGTCACTGTCCTTATTATCATAGTATCATGAAGTCCTCACCACCTGTCAGAATTGGTGTCATTTTCCCTTTTGTGCAATGAAGCAACTGGAAATAGAAGGAATTTGGGAAGGCAACGCCCATGCCCGGCAAAGCCAGTGAGCGGTGAGGCTGAAATGCAAACCCAAGTGTGACAGGCACCTCGCCCACCTGCAGACTGCTGGGCAGAGGGTGGGTCACAGGGGAGTGGCATGGGACGGGCACCTCGCCCACCTGCAGACTGCTGGGCAGAGGGTGGGTCACAGGGGAGTAGCATGGGACGGGCACCTCGCCCACCTGCAGACTGCTGGGCAGAGGGTGGGTCACAGGGGAGTGGGCACCACTCTGGCTGTCGGTGGTAAACTGTCTCTACAAGCAGCAAGAGTTGACAATGAATAAAAAATCTCAGAGAGTCCTTTCATTCAACAAAATTTTAATGGGTATAGCCCTGGCAGGTTTTCTCAGTGGTTAGAGCATCAGCCCGCAAACCAGAGAGACCCGGGTTTGGTTCCCGCTAAGGGCACGTGCCTCAGTTGAAGTTTGTCCCCGGCCCCGGTTGGGGAGGTGTGGTTGGCAGTCACTTGATGTGTCTCTCTCACATCAATGTTTCTCTCTCTCGTTCTCCCTCTCTCCCTCCTGCTCTATCTGAAGATAAATATAAAAATGTCCTCAGGTGAGGATAAAAAAATTTTTTAACGGGTATGGGTGCTTTATTTTTATGAATCATAAGGAGTCAAGCATTACAAAGAGAGTATTATAAACTACTATTTACAACCATTAAAATAGGGTAGAACAGGGTCTGTCTTCATCACAAACATCACCCCAATTCAGGCCCAAATGTACTTTCCTCCATACCGATTATGCAATATATTTCATCCTACCCCTTCTTTGGTAAAAAGGTCATAAAACACACACATACACAAAAGTGGAAAATTAAGCAACATTTACATTTCATTTTAGCTGAAGTCTACAAATTATGTGATAATATGAAAGAGGAAACCCATTTTCTCCAGGCAATCACTGTGATGACTTTCACTTTTCGAATTTCAGAGTAACCGTGGATTGATAATATAAGGAATTGCTCCACAACATCATTTGCAGAGGCCAGAACAAAATATTAAACATGATGTCCGGCCAGTATTGCTCAGCGGTTGAGCGTCGACCCTGCACCAAGAGGTCACTTGTTCGATTCCCGGTCAGGGCACATGCCCAGGTTGTGCGCCCGATCCCCAGTGGGGGGCATGCAGGAGGCAGCTCATTGATGTTCTCTCTCATCAATGTTTCTATCTCTCCCTCTCCCTTCCTCTCTCTCTCTCTCAAAAAATAAAATAGCTTCCAGTGTTATAAAATGTGTGTGTGTGTGTGTGTGTGTGTGTGTGTATTATACGAAACATGATTGGCCATGGCGGGGAGTGGCTGTGGCCAGTGAAGGGACATCAGACAAAGACAAGGAACTGGCATCCTGTGTGCACACCTCCAAATCTGCTCCAACACTCAGCTGTCCTCCTGCACACTTTGCATTCCCAAACCTACCAAGACGCTGAAGAAGCATCGACAGCTAACAGAAGGGTGTCAGGAAGTGCATGGTACAGAGGAAGAGCGCGAGAAAGCCTGCTGAGGAGCTCCACGCATCTAGGAAGCGTCCATGAGCTCACCATGCCCGTTCAGGAGCACAGCGCTGTGAGACATTGTTGTCTCTAAAAACCCGGTGGCCTGTGGAATCTGCTATGAAACTTCTCTCTGCTCCTCAGAATGAGGTGCACTTTGTGCTCAGAAGTATTGTGGGTTCTTTTTTTTTAGGTTTCTTTCTTTTTATAAAATTATTTTTATTAATTTATTTTTGTTATTGATGTTTCTCCTTTTTCCCCCATCGACACCTTCCTCCTCATCCCCCCGCCCTGTCCCCAGCATTGCTGTCTATGTCCATAGTTATGCACACATGCATATAAGATCTGTGGTTTATCTCTTCCCTCCCTGCCCCATTCCCCTCTACTGAGATTTGTCTCTTCTGTGTCTCTGGGTCTATTTTGTTCATCTGTTTGGTTTGTTCATTATATTCCACAAATAAGTGAGATCATGTGATATTTGTCTTTCTCTGATTGGCTTGTTTCACTTAACATAATACTCTCCAGGTCCCTCCATGTTGTCTCAAAGAGTAAGAGATCTTTCTTTCTTATTGCTGCATGGTACTCCATTGTGTATATGTACCACAGCTTTTTTATCCATTTGTCTACTGATGGACACTTGGGCTGCTTCCAGATCTTAGCTATTGTACATAGGGCTGCTATGAACATGGGGGTACATATATTTTTTCTGATTGGTGTTTCAGGCTTCTTAGGCTATATTCCTAGAAGTGGGATCACTGTGTCAAATGGCAGTTCCATTTTTAACTTTTTGAGGTAACACCATAGTGTTTCCCATAGTGGCTGCACTTTAGCTCCAGACTGCAGGGTCAGCATTTAGCCGGAAGAGAACATATCTTAGCAAGCTCTGTACCCAAAATCTCCTGGTATGCAGCTCACACTCATTCCACGTTTGATGAACATTTGGTCAATGTAAAATGTTTCCTTTATTGAACTGGCAACCAACATATAGAAAACAACAATCAAACATAAAAAAGAAGAATTTGTAGCTACTTTAATTCATTTATCCAAGAAATACCTGTTGAACTTTCTCTAAATGCCAGGCCCTTGGCTCCAGGTCAGCCAACAGCTATGCAGAGGACAGAACTAAGGCTCTGCTCTCATAGAATTTGGGGTCAAGTGGAGCAGACAGACATTGGAAAGATAACATCACAAAGGTTTAATAAATTACATCACAGTGGTGGCTGCAAAAGAGAGCTTTAAAGGAGCCTATCCAGCCTGGGAGGCACAACAGCTTCCCTGCGGAGCTGGCCTGGGAGGGGGAGCCTGGATGATGCGCCAGAGACTGACAGGTGACAGGTACACGGTCACTGAATTTATGAGAGCAGTCTGGGGCAATCACTCCATACCAATCTTCAACTTTCTAACAGTTTTTCCCCAAACTATATTCTTCCACCTCAGATTCATTCATTTTATAAGCATTTGTTAAAGAAAAAAAACAAAACAAAAAAAACCTCCAAATAATGTGCAAACTTGGTATCTACCCAATAGAAGCTCACAGCATTAGAAGACAAACATAGGAAAGGATACATTGTATCCCATTTGGTAGGTGCTACAGGCAGGGGAAGAACCTGGTGGGTATCTCATTCTCTCTGGAGCCCTCAGGAAAGATTTTGCAGAGGGCTAGGTGAACCTAGTGAAGCAATGAAAGGCACATATGTTGGTCAGAAAAAAGAACCTCATGAAACAAGAGTAGAATTAGAACCAATATTCAGGCCATGGTAGAACCATCCATATATAAATAGCACTCTAATAAGTAAATGAAAAAACAAGAAGAAGGCATGGAGCATGAGAGGAGAAGATCAAATGCCAAATCTGACATATACCAATAAGAGAACTCGGCATGTTATTTCCTTAAATGTTCTGCACTAGAGTTGCCCAAGCTAGAAAATGAGAGTAATAACACCACATTCTGCACAGAGCTTCTGTGGGATTCAGTGAGACAGTACACGATCAAGCACCTAGCGCTGTTGCCAGGGCTAAGGTCTCCGGCTATTTTCAGGAAGGACCAGACAGTAAAGGGAGTCACAGAGGAGCAGTAAGGAGAGTGGGGAAAACTGGAGAGATGATGAAAAAATGTCAAAGATAGATGTAAAAGATATTGAAGGTGTGCAGCTAAAGCAGTATATAAAGGGAAATTATAGCTACAAACACCTACATTACATGAGAACTAAGATCTCAAATCAGTAATGTAATCTTCCACCTTATTAGAGAAAAAGAGCAAACGAAACCCAAAGAAAGAAAAAATATTAGATTATACTGAAAATAAAATAATGAATATAAACACAGTAAGGATGAATCAATAAAACCAAAGAGTTGTTCTTTAAAAATATCAACAAAATTAACAACCATTTGTTAAACTGACAGAAAAAAAAGGTGGAAAGACTCAAATTACTAAAATGAGGAATGAAAGAGGAGACATTACTACTAACCTCACAGAAATAAAAAAGATTATAAGAGACTCCTATGACCAATGGTATGCCAACAAGTTATATGACTAAGGTGAAACAGATACAAACTACCAAAGCTGACTCAGAAAGAAATAAAAATGTAAACAGTCCTATAACAGGCAAAGATATTAGATATTAAATTAGTAATCAAAAAAACTATCCACAAAGAAAAGCCCAGGTCCACATGGCTTCCCTGGTAAAATCCAGCAAATATTTAAAGAAGAATTAATATCAATTCTTCACAAATTCTTAAAAAAAAAAAGAAATAAGAGAAAATGCTTCTCTCTCTTTCTGAATCCAGTGGTGCCCTGATACCAACACCAAAGATATCACAAGA